GGCGCCCAGCAGCAAGCCCCTTTCAGCAGCGCCTCGCGCACAGACCCTGAAGCCAAGCACCATCGCCCAGCCTCAGGCGAACTCATCAAGTGTCGCGCGCGCCACCGGCAACGCGCGCAGACCCTGTCCCGCATGACCAAGATGCTGCTTCCAGACTTAGTTTTATTTCACCGTTGTAATAAGCTAAGTCATTTTCATTGTATTGTTCTAGGCTAGTTTTACATCATTTTCATTAAGTGTGATTGTACAGCTTTCATAGGGCTAGTCTTGCAGCTTTGGTTTTATTTTTTTAAGCATATATAAGGGGCATATACAAACATTCAAACATTTCAAGCAATCATCATCATCATCCTGTACTGGTGTCTCGGCCCCCCGACACCACATCTTTGTAATCATCATCATCATCAATAAAATCATCATCATCATCATTCAAAACTCAATTCTCTTGCAAAGCTTCCGTGACTGCAATCATCGATTTTTCCGCACGGCACTGACGCTCTAGTCTAGCGTGCGGAGGGGACCTCATTGGCGGACAGCAACCGACTGACATCGGTTGCTTAGCCTTATGTTGCCCTTCCAAAGATCATCAGGAAGGCGCCGCGTAACATTATGCACGACCATAACCTTTATGATCACCTTGATGGATCTAGCTCGACTCCTAACCGTACTATCACCCTTGGTACAAACATATCCCTCAACCCGACCTACGCACCTTGGTTCCGTCAAGACCAACTCATTCAAAATGCCCTTATGGCTTTTGTTGACCCCACCATTGCCTCCACGGTTGCTGCGGCAAACTCATCTAAGGCGGCTTGGGAAGCCTTGCACAATGCTTATGCAAATAGGTCCCAAACCCGAATCTTTAGCCTGCGTGATCAACTTGCCCGAATCACCAAAGACTCTCTCTCCATTACCGAATATCTTCAAGCTATTCGGTCTCTTTCAGATGAACTAGCCACTGCTGGTGCCCCTGTGTCAAACTCCGAGCTCATTCTCAAAATCCTTAGCGGTCTTGGAACTGAGTTTCGTGAAATATCTGTTGCTATTCGCTCGCGTGACAACACTGTCACCTATGAAGAACTATATGAAAAGTTGCTTGATCATGAACTCTTCGTTCGTCATGAAGAGTCTAAGAAAAGTTCCAGTCCGATCATTGCTGCAGTTGCCACCAGCAACAAACACAACAATAACAACAACAACAATAACAACAATCGTCGCCAGAACAACAACAATCAATAATGGCGTCAGAATACGCGCTCCAATGCTCCACCACAATGGCAGCCCCCGAATAATGCTAACACCAATTTTATTCGCTGTCAGTTATGCAACAAGATTGGCCACGTCGCGAGTGTCTGCCGATCCAAGTCTCACAATCATTTTGAGGCCAAAGCCAACTACAAATTTGGCTTCACCGCTATAGCCAATCCGTGGATTGTAGATTCCGGTGCCACCCACCACATCACCACCGCACCGCACCGCATAATTTTCAAGAATATCATGGAAATGAGGACATCTCTATGGGTGACGGTAATAAAATTCCCATAACTCATACTGGTTCCACTCAGTTAAAGGCATCAAATAATGTTTTTAAGCTTACTCAAACTTTATGTGCCCCAGCTATTAAACGTAACCTCATCTCTGTTTTTAAATTTTGCCAAGACAATCTAACCTCTTTTGAATTCTTTCCTTTTCGTTTTCTTGTGAAGGATATAAAAATGCGAGTACCACTGGTGTGCGGATGGAATAAAAATGGATTGTAAGAATGACCTAATTCAACTCCATAACTTCACATGTCCTCCACTGCAGATTCCATAACAACTTGGCATCAAAGACTGGGTCATCCACATTCTAGAGTTCTTAAGTACTTTTTGAATAAATTTTCTCTTCCTTTCTCTAAGCGAGACAAATCACTTTTTTGTAATTCATATTCGTCTAATAAAGCCCATCAGCATCTGTTTTACACTTTGACTCTAAATAGCTCTAAACCTCTTCAGGTTATTTTTAGTGATTTATGGGGACCCTCCCTAGTTTAATCTCTTGACAAAAAATTGTATTACTGCTTGTTTGTTGATCAATTCATGGGATATACCTGGTTGCACACCTTAAAAAATAAAAGTGAGGTCAAAGACATTTTTCAAAAATTTTACCTATTGGTAGAAAAATATTTCGACACCAAGATTTTATCACTTTACACTGATGGTGGAGGAGAATATAAAAGTCTTGATCCATATCTCTCTTTTTATGGTATCGAACATCTCTCTACCCCACCATATACGCCTCAAAGAGTTGCTCTTGCAGAGGGACGACACTGTCATATCATCGAAACTGCAAGAACACTACTTCATGAGGGTTCACTTCCACCAATTTTTTGGTCATTTGCATGCCATGATGCTGTTTATTTGATTAGTCGCCTTCCAACATCACTTTTAAATAATATGTCTCCATTTCAAAAATTATTTGGTGAAATACCCAATTATAAATCACTTAAAAATTTTGGGTGTTTATGTTATACGTGGCTAAAACCTTATTTGAAGAATAAACTTGAACCAAAGTCCGCACCATGTGTCTATCTAGGTTTTTCTCTAAGTCATCACTGTCATCAGTGCTTTGATCCAGTTTCTGCCAAAATTTATCTGTCTCGTGATGTGAAGTTTTTTGAGAATATTTTTCCTTTTAAAAGTTTATTCTCTAATATTGCACTTAAATTACATCATCTGGAATGGCATAAACTTGTACATAGAGAGAATTTTAAATCCAACCCTACACTTCCCATAATTTCAGAATTGCCCCATCCTATTTTAATACCCACAAACAACGATAGAGATTTCACTTCGCCTGCTTCAGCAAAGTCCCCCTTCTATCCAACTCCTACACCACAAACTCATCCCTCTATATTTTTTGGCGACACACCAGCGACATTAGTGGAATCAGGCCCGTCACAGACTTTTAGTTCAGGTAAGTCTCCATCTCTCTCCAATTTCTTATCCCCCCAAGATTCCCGCTGCCTAGCCCCACCTTCCTATGTACCTTCTTCTTCTTCGGCAAATTCACCTCTAAAAGTGCCAAATACACTCCAAAGCCCGTCGCCCCATCTCCTAGTCTATCGACGCCGCTCTGCCAACCAAAATTCACCAGCAAATCAGCTTCCTCAAGCATCTACTATCACACCACTTTCAGAACAACTTGCTAACCTATCTCCACCTTCCTTCCCCACACCCCCAAATCGCATTATCACCAGGTCCCAAAATAATATTCATAAGCCAAAACAAATTTTTGACTACCTTGCTCACCCCAGTCCAACATCACACCTCATACCTTCAAACAAGCCCAGAAACATCCCGAGTGGAAAGCAGTAATGAAACACGAATTTGATGCCTTACTGACTAACAGTACCTGGGAATTAGTTCCGAATGATCTGTCTAAAAATGTTGTTTCTTGCAAGTGGCTTTTCAGGATTAAAAGGAAGGCGGATGGTTCAGTTAATTGCTATAAAGCCAGATTGGTTGCGAAAGGATTCATCAAAGGCCTGGTGTTGATTTTCACTCATCTTTCAGTCCGGTGGTCAAATCCACTATTGTGCGAATCATTTTTGTTGTTGCCCTTTGATTTCCCTGGCCTCTCCGTCACCTCGATATTAACAATGCATTCCTTCAAGGCGACCTTGAAGAGGAGGTGTACATGATGCAACCTCCGGGCTTTACTTGTGATAATTATCCGGCCCATATCTGTAAGTTGCGCAAGGCCATTTATGGCCTGAAGCAAGCGCCTCGGGCTTGGTATAATGCACTCAAAGGACTTCTTTCCTCAATGGGATTCATTAGGCACAACCATGCTAGACTCATGTTTGTTTTGGTGTATGTTGACGCCATCATAGTTACCGACAACAATCTTATCACTGTGAAAAAGGTTATAGCTTCTCTTGCCTCTCACTTTTCAGTTAAAGACTTGGGCGATCTTCATTATTTTCTTGGTGTTGAGGTGATTCAAAGTTTTGATGAAATTATTCTATCCCAAGCCAATTATGTCAATGAGATCGTAAGTGATGAATTGATGTCTGACTGCAAGAGTGCGAAAACACCAATGAGTGCCTCCGAGTTACTCAAACTCAATGATGGGGCTCAGTTAACAGACGCAACTCGCTATCGCCGAGTCCTAGGAAGACTTCAATATTTATCTTTTACGAGGCCGGACATGGCCTATGCAGTCAATAAATTGTCCCAGTTTATGCAATTACCATCCGATCTTCATTGGAAGGCTGTGAAATGTGTTCTCAGGTACCTTCGTGGTACACTTCAATTTGGCTTGCGCGTGTCCCCCAAGTTTGACTTTAATTTGCACATGTATTCTGATACCGACTAGGCTGGAGATCTCACTGACAGATACTCAACATCTGGTTATATTTTGTTTCTTGGCCCAAACCCCATCAGTTGGTCCTCGAAAAGGCAGAAGACTGTAGCTCGCTCATCAACTGAAGACGAATATAGAGTTGTTGCTAATGCTCTTGCTGAACTTCTGTGGGTTAGAAACCTATTGCTTGAGATGCAGCTCCCAGTTAGAGATATCTCTACAGTTTACTGTGACAACATTGGTGTCAGTTACCTAAGCAAGAATCCTGTTCTTCATAGTCGCGTGAAACAGGTTGAGGTGGATTTTCATTTTGTGCGCAACCATGTTGAAGAAAAGCTGGTTCGAGTTGTTCATGTTCACTCTGCTGACCAACTTGTTGATACGCTTACCAAAGCCCTTGCCAAGCCGGCCTTTGACCGGAATATGTTCAAGTTAGGCTTAGTGCCACATAGCCTAACTTGAGGGGGGCGTATTGGAACACCAGTTCCTATTACCAGATTGTTACGAATTCTCATCTAGTAGTCTTTATCGTTTATGTTTATCCTTTTAGTTACACAAGTAGATCTAAAGTTATCCTCTCATTGAGAGTATCTATCAGTTAGTTTATTTTGATAGACTTTACGTTGAATAAGTCTCCTAATACAAGGAGTAGTCTTAGGTAAAACTTGTATATATACTCAGCTTGTTATTCAATACAGTACAGAGCTTTTCCATCAACTTTTAAGTCTTTATACCCTCTTCCTCAAGTCGTGTTGTTACAATTATCCGACTTCTATTTTTATTATTTGGGAAAGATAATCTGAAATCATCCCACGCTTTAACATCCCACATATCATCCAAGACAATGAGATATCTCTTTCCTTTTAAGCTTTTCTTCAACATGTGTCATCGTTGTTGTTGTTGTTGAGACAACTAAATGGTTAGTATCCATCCACATTGGCTTTCAAAGTAAATGGTTGCATTAGTTAATATACAAGTTATTAGTCTCTTATAACGCGATGATCATGCAAGCTACTCCTAGCAGTTGCAGTAGTTGCCTATTATTCGATCTGTGAGTATTATTGTTACATAAGATGATGATGAAATACTTCTTGCTAGAAGAATATGTCAGTAGTATTCAGTCGACTCGACTACCATATTAAACTCAAAATGCAGAGGCTGGATATTATATTGTTCAACCAAGATTTATTCAGAATGGGCTAAGAGAACTTCTTCCAAGACAAAGTAGGGCCTAGAGATATGCGTCAATATTCTATTGTGTTAGTGCGGGTACTTATTTTGTTTATATCTATGCCCTGCAACCTATCTTAGATGGAAATAAGCGAACATATGGCATCAACTAATGAGGCACATTTGAACTGAAAATTAAGCTAACATATGGCTTTTGTAACTTTAATTAGATGGTTCAATAAGCTGAGTCTTTGCCTGCAGTTTTCAGCTGTCAGCTGGAATATCGCGATTAAGGAGCAGAACTGCTTCTACAATATTGTTTTCTTTCTACTACCAATATAATTTACAAATCATACTTCTATCTGCATCCCTAGCTTGTCAAACTATGAAGGAAGGCATAGAGTGGATGGTGGCATAAGATTCTTCATTACCTCCGTGCAGTAGAGAAAAAAAAGGTATCCCGGTGCACTAGGATCCCACTATGAGCGGGGTCCGGGGAAGGGCCGGACAACAAGTGTCTATTGTACGCAGTCTTACCCTACATTTCTGCAAGAGGCTGTTTCCACGGCTTAAACCCATGACCTTCTCCTAGTCAGATGACACATACGCTCAGCATCTTCATCTCCAATGGAGTGTTTGGTATGAAGGAAAATATTTTTTTTGAGAACTGGTTTTTTAGTTATTTTCTGGTGTTTGGTTAGGCAGCATAAAGTGGGAAAATTGGCCGTCATACCAAAAACACCCTAAATGTGCAGCTTTGCATATGTTTCTCCTCTTAAAATCTCTATGCCCATACTCTGTCCAACTTCATAATGTTCTGGATACAGACTTCAAAAGTTTGTTTAATTCATACTGTTATTTTTGTTGGAAGAGCTCTATAATTTCTGGTGTTTTTTCTATCAGAAGAATATATGTATATAGTCGTGCAGACAAACAATTCATTTGGCTGGAATAACATGTCATTCAACAAAAAATGATAGTTGAAATTACTTGAAAGCAACACAACTTTTATGACAATGAAACAAAGTAAATACAAGCATAACAGAATAGGAAATATGCAAAACAGTTTTACATTGAAAACACCCCACACGATCGGGTTACTCGAAATGCTACAGAACCCAATAGAAGGGTGTTTCAAGCCAATACTTTGGAGCAAAGAGTTTATTGAATATCTCCAACAACTACACAGAGACTTTCTTAAACTTAACAATGCTTGAAAAGGCAAAAATCAAAGAGTTTTTCTTAATTTATTGCACCAGTCTCATCAGACGACTTGACTGCAGAAATTATTAAATGCGCTCGGCGACACCAAAGCTCCCAGCAAGGTGAATGTTGTCCTGATACTATCCTGCAGAAGAGGGTAAAATAATTAGTGGGCTAGCAATACAGTCCAAATCTCTTAGCAAAGTGCGCTCGTTCAAGAATTTAAGGGGAAACCATATTAAAATTTAGAAGAGCTAGTTGATAATGGAATTTCATGAATTGCTATACATTTATGAGGAATTGTATAGTAATGAAAAATACAAACATGTTGACATTCTACAAAATGAAGCACACATATGTGATATGACATATCATATAGATACATTCTACCAAATGAAAAACAAATATCATTATCATATAGAAGATACAGATCGATGCAATCTTTTTCTAATAAACATGAATGTTTAAACACACTTGGTGAAAAACATAATGAAGATTTAAAATCATCTCAAAATAAAATGAATTTGACTGACCATTTTAAAATTCACTATGTGGTGTCGCAATCAGCTTATTCG